TTATATTTTTGCTGGTTTTTATTTCAGACACAAGATTAACAATGATTCTAGAACTGGTCGATGTTCTGTTATGATTTCTAAAAGTTTTTCTGATGATGTGGGAGAATATATGTGTCACGCTGCCAATCCTGGTGGAGAATGTAATACTAAAGCTGAAATACTTCCAGAGGGTAGGTTAAACACTGTTTGTGATATTCTTGGTGATGGTGATCATGTAACTACTCTGGACTTAGCAGAAAGAGTGATCTTGCTGACTGGTTTAACCACAATTTTTTTAAATTTTGTTGCATTGACATCTTCAAAATATGGCTAACTTTAAATTTATTGGATTTGTCTACATGATAGGGAGCTTTGACCAGGCATATGATGTTATTCTGTCCCTAATATATAGAAGGTTGTATGGCTTGAAACCTTCATTATTTGTCCTAAATTTTGTTACTAGTTTTCAAGAATTGTGAAAGTGTTAAGAATACATAATAATTATTCAATATGGATCTTATTGTGATTTAAAAATATTTCCAGTTCGTAAAGTTCAAGATGAACCATTAGTGTCAGATTTATCTCCAGTACAAGAGATACTGGCTCGAGCTCAAGCTCCCAAGAAACCAGAGAAAGAATTTTACCGAACACCAACAGAGAAGTTGATTGACAGACGATCAGAAGAGAGAATGTTAGCACAACCTGATGAACCATTGTCTGCTGGCGTCAGCGACTCTGTAAGTTTTTTATATTGAAACGTCATCGGAACTTCGACTCCTGAAAAGCATAAAGATTCAAATTCTTGTACTGTACTCTAGCCTAGTCAGTTTTTATGATGTTGTTTGTGTGATAATATGGTAGTTTTCGTCTGATGTCTGTATTCACCTTGTGTCATAGATCTAGAAACAAAGACTATGTTCAGTTGATATTGTTTTCAGGATTTAGGGTTAATAGTAACACATGTATATTGCCTTCATGCCATTTGTTCCAGAAAAGTTTATTTTAGTATTTACATCTGTTTTTATTCTACAGGAATTTACCGTGTCTGGGTTTGAGAGAAAATTAATGGAAGAGATAAATTATCGTGATGGGAAGATTAAGATGATGAGTGAAACAGAAACAGAATACGATTCTGAACAACCTGAAGAAAGAGTCATCAACACCCAGCCTCCAGAAATATTACAACAGTTAAACGATACACAACTTATTGAAGGTGGCGACGCCACATTTGTCTGTAAAATTGTGGGAAAACCACGACCAAAGGTAAGGTTTTATTCTGGCAATTTCTTCTTCTGGTACTGTTGTCTTAAGTTATGACTAGTTACGAAAAGTCAAGTCCTGAAAGTTATTAGTGCAAAAAATAAGTTTTAGAGCTTGAATTGATGTCATTATCCCAATAACCTTCAGACCCTTTTTGCGTTAGGACGGTGCTTTTATGAAATGCTCTCATCACATGACTTGACAACAAATTATACATATTGTAATTTTGAGGTACACTAAATATAAAGTTTCTTTCACAAAAAAATTGCCAGCGAGATAAATAATACTCAAACATTGACTATATTTCAGATTGCTTGGTATAGAAATGGAAAACGTATCAAGAAATCTAATCGTTATGATATAACGTACGGACAAGATAATATGAGTGTATTGAAGATTCGAGTCACTCTACCAGAAGATACTGGATATTACACAGTCCTAGCTGTTAACTCGGTCGGTAAAGCCACCACCTCTGCCCAACTTTACGTTGATAAACTCGGCAACATTGATGCTACTTCTTTCATGGAACCTGAGAGCCTGAAAAAGATGCTTAAGAGGTATGATAAAAAGGCAAAGTTACTGTCAATCTATCATTTCTCGCTGGATTTATAATGCTCATGAAAATTATTCATTGGACTTCTGGATTTTGTTATTCTATGTATTATGTTCTCGATTGAAGAGTTCTGAGCAGGTTCTGTCTGTTATAATTCTGCCGCCAGTCGAATGGTATGGAAGCGGAATATGTCACATTCAAACTCTTCTCATCTATTTCCTTCTGAACCATTTGGAATTCTGTCTGCGTCTACTACTTTTCAGCACATGTTGAAGGTGTTCTGAACCCTGTATCAGAACTCATCAATTGAGCCACCCTTCAAATTCAGGCAGTCTCACATTGATACTGTATCATATTAAA